ACTAATTACAACTGACACTATTGTAAAGGTAGCAGTTTTGTAAGAAAAACAGGGGTGTGGTTAATCTTACAGTCCAGAAACAGAGGACCCTAGGACCATCAAGGGCGAAGAGCACAAGCAGAATGCAGGACCTTACCAGAGAAGCAGTGACTCCAGAGACGGAGGAGGCAGATATGGGGTCATGGAGAGGGGGAGCAGTTGAGGCCTCTAAATGCATGGGAAGAGAGGGACTAAGAGTGGGTGGCCAGGAGACCTACTTGTAGAATGTGCCCTTTGGAGGTGTAAATATTATATATGCTAGAGTGGCTTTTTGTGTGTGTGTGTGTGTGTGTGTGTGTGTGTGTGTTTTAAAGCTAAAGTGAATAGAAAAAAATACTGCTAATTGATGGTACATGGAAGAGATTATAATCATTGTAATGAAACAAGGTGTATGATTTGTTGAATGTAAAACTGATGATATGCCCTGTCAACTTTCACTCAATCCACAATAAAAAACCTTAAAAAAAAAGAATTTAAAGTCTTGGAAAGTCTACACAAGGTCTCTATGAATTGGAACCAGCTCAACAGCACACCACCACCACCACCACCAGACCAGTAAAGAGATCCTTTGGGATTTGGTTGGTTTTGTTAGTTTCTATAAAATATTTTCACACGTGTGGATACAAAAATCCAGAGACATGTTTCTCTCCCCAGACCATTCAACAGTAATCACTATTTTGATAAGGGCACTTACTTCTAAATCTAACTGACAAGACTTTAATTTCCTTAAGATTGCAGCTGCTGAAATAGGAGTGTTCCCTGCAGTGTCCTCTTTAGTCAGCTGGAATGGCTAACTGGCTTTTTGGTCTTAATCCCTGTGAAATAGGGCTGACTTTTCCATTTCCTGTTCTGATTTTTAGCACAAAGAATTTTGTGAGTCTGGCAAATTTACAACAGTTACTCTTGAAACTCTCAAATTTCATAAGCTTGATATGACTTTACAACTACTATTTAAAGTATAAGCCAGCATAAAAGTTCATATTACAAAAGTTTAACTTTTTAGTCACCCTCACAGCACTGTACTTTTCACTAAAACTCAAAGAAATAATCTCTTATATGTGAAAAGGATGAATTTGATTCTATTAAATTACAAGCACTAATTGTTTTGTTTTTTAAAAAAAAGAAAAAGAAAAACCTCAAAAAACAAATGCTTAATATTTACAACAACAATCCTGTCGCATATTCTTTTATATGTCCATCTGAAAAGCTTCTAAATTGGTTTATGCACATACATCCTTCCCCAACTATCCTTACAATCAAAGTTAAGAGCTGTGTCTTCTACCTCTTTTTTTTTACCTTCATGTGTGGGGTAATGGTCCATGAAAGACCAAATACTTGAGTAACAGGAAGTGTTCATTTAGAATCAAAAATAATCTTTGTGTGGTGTAATGCACTGGACTGCACAGTCTGTTTGAACCATAATTGTGGTCGATGGTTCAAGCTCACCAGCCACTCCTGAGAAACCCTATATGGGGCTGCTATGGGTCAGAACTGACTCGACGACACTTAACCACAACCACAATTTTACATTAAATTTAATTCCTAAATTGTCGGAAGGCAGAGCTATTGCTACTGCTGTTAAGTGCCATGAAGTTGATTCCGACTTACGTGTAACAGAACAAAACACTGCTAGCCCTGTGATATTCTCACAATCGTTATGTTTGTGCCCATTGTTGCAACCACTGTGTCAATTCATCTTGTTGAGGGTCTTTCTCTTTTTCAATGACCCTCTATTTTACCAAGCATGAAGTCCTCCTCCAGAGACTGGTCCCTCATGGTAATAGGAAGAGTTGTACTATTTTATCCTTACCAGAACTGGATACACGCCTGATCCTCTGAGAACATGAGGCTCGATCAGAACTGAGATTTCGACCATCGGTATTTCGCCTTAGACAGGAAACAGAAGGCCCCACTTTAGCTTTTGGACCAGGTGTTTTCCATAAGCTGGAAGAGTCCGGTTTGGATATATTTCTACCTGCAGTGGTTACAGTTTTTGATGCAGAGCCCTGTGGGAAACAGTTAAGACTTTAGATCAGATTATGCTTTCCCTAAACCATTTCCTTGTAGTGTTAGCTATATGACAGAAATACAGGTTTTAGCTTTGTTTTTACTATGAAAACATTAATACTCTCATTTATTCTTGAATTCAATCACCTGGTTTTCCCCCACCAGTGAAAATTTTCCTCTCAAGATCACTAGTGCCACAAGTTAAATTGAAGTTAATTTTTGGTTCTTCCCTTATGGGCCTTTTTGAGGGCATCCAACGACTCATCTTTCTTTGGTTTCTACAACAAATCTCTTTGCTTGTTTTCCTTCTACTTGTCCTATTATTTCTTTTTTGAGCGTTCCTACTCTGTGCTCATAAATGCTAGCTTTCCTATAGATCCTAATCTGAGTCCATTTCTTGGTCCTCATTTTATATGTCCCCTAGATAATCTTGTCCACCCTTTCAACCACCAACTATACACTGTCATTGTTGTTGTTAAGTGTCATCGAGTCAGTTCCAACTCATACTGTCTCCATATAGGGTTTCCAAGGAGCAGCTGGTAAGTCTGAAACCTCTGACCTTGAGGTTCAAATCAATCTTGCGGTCCAGTGCTTATTCTACAGCACCACACCAGGACACACTAATGCATCCAAATTCACCTGTCCAAGTCAGCACTCTTTCCTGGGTTCCAGATCCAGCCTTTTAACAGCTTCCTACACTCCCCTACTTGGCTCCCTTCTGGTATCTTTACTTAACAATAGTGATGATAAAGACCGGGAAGTAGTTTCTGAACTGATTTTGTCTGTTGTTGATTTTGTGTGTTATAGCATTGGTTCCGACTCATAGTGACCCTGTATAGATTTCCAAGAGTGGCTGGTGGGTCTGAACTGCCAACATTGTAGTTAACAATCCAGTGCCACACCACGATTTTGCCTATCCATCTCAAAATGTATCTCTTCCTATAGTAATCATAACATACCCAAGCACTCACTCTAAAAAGTAAAAACTTTTTCTAGATGTCTTCTTTCTTGTTTCCTAAACTCATCTTGATGGGATTCTCTTCTTTCCATCTATCTTTCTTGTCAGGAACACTGAGACCCTTCCCTAAGGGTCTTTCTGCTTTGTATCTCACCAGGATCCAGTTCATTTTCCACTTCACCATGAGAGCAATCTCTCTAAATTTCAATTCAGATTGGGTGGCTCCCCTCTGCCCCCCAGATAAAGTCAGTTCTTGACAAGTCACACTAAGCACTTCTGCATATGGCAGCCCCTGCCATCCTCTTCAAGTTATTCCAAACTCCTCCTAGTTCTGCACCTCTGACTTCGTCATAACCACTACCTGGATGGAATCCCTGAATGAGAATATCTCCTCCTGCTCCTTCATCTTTGCACATGCTATTCTGTCCACCCAAAAAATGGCATTCCCAGCCACAGCTGTCCTTCAAGTTCTGGCTAGTGATTAACAGGGCTCTTCTCCTTGAAGTCTTTCTCAACAAGCCCCTCTCCTCCATTGACCTTCCTCAATTTCTCTTCTATGGCATACATGATTACACACACTCCCAGCTGTGCACTAAGCATATCCTGTTGCTTTACTTTGCAATATTATCTATTGTACTAGGCACTAGGTTTGCCCAGGCAGTGTGTTTTTCCTTCTCTGTACCCCAATAGTTAGTACCATGCCTATTCAACAAATGCTTTATTTTACATCTAGGAAATCTCTGGGTGGTACAAACAGTTAATGTGCTCGGATGTTAGCGAAAAGGCAAGAGTTTCAAGTCTACTCAGGGGTGTGCCTTAAAAGGAAGGACTGGTTATCTACTTCTGGAAAAAATGAGCCATTGAAAATCCTATGGAGTACAGCTCCTGGAATCATCATGAGTCAGAATTGACTAGATGGCAATTAGTAATCACCATTATTCTACATATAGGAAATGGGAGTCTGAGCCTTATTCAAAACATAAACTGTAGCACTATAAACTACAAGTATATTCTCCATTTACATAGAGAAAATTGTGTCTCACAGAAGTCAAGCCAATTGCCCAAGGTCACTTAAGCAGTGAATGACAGAGTAAAAATTTGAAACCAAATCTAACTCCAAAATCTATGCTCCTAAAATTTATTCCATATATTTCTTACTAGTACCCTTCTTTGTTTAATAAACAATGGGAGGATACTCTTAGAGAGAGACAAGAAAATTCCCAAGCAGATGAACTGGTTTGAAGCCCTGACTAACACAGAATCACCAATACAGAACTTCTATAGGGAATAACTACATTTACATTCAACCCTTCATATTAAAGTCAGATGCTGTGTTCCAAACAGAAAACATTCTTTAATTTTAGATAAACCCAGACAACCAAAGAACTACGAAATTATAGGCAAATGAGGGATTCAAATTCATAGCCTAATTTAACACAAGACTAACAGAACATAGGAAATACACATCCTCCAGCATGTCTCATCATCGATCCAGGGTAGATTTAGAGCCTTTGGGTGCTGCTCAAGTGACCAACAGACACAAACAACAGAATGTAACACATGCAACAAATAATGATTCATTCAGTTCTCTACAATAAGTGCAAAGCCTTATTGTCTGTCTCTCAAAAATCCAGTCGTTGTTGAGTTCACTCAACTCATGGCAGTCCCACATGTACTCCACAGGGTTTTCAAATGGACCTCTAGAGATGCATGGAAGTGTGTACAAGGGGAACTAGCAAGTCAGAGCCATGTATGCTTGACACTTACCCATTGAAAGAATGAATTTTTTAGACCAATGTGACAAAAAGGTCAGTTCTGAAAATATGAACCAGCCCTCCAGGATTAACAAGGTACTCCATATTTAATTATGAGAACTAACTTTAAAATCCCTAAGAAAAGATGATGTGTGCTTCTTCTACAAGATGTACTGGGATCCATTCAATCTGATTTTACCACCTTACTTTAATGCCACATTAGGAACTTGAAAAACAGACTTTCATTTTGCACTTGAGAAATATAAGATTAAGATTTTCTCAATGCACAAATCATTAAAAGTTTCATATTTAAACATACACAACCAATTTTGTACTCAAGATAAATGCCATTTAAGGAAACTTCATGTTAATTTTTCTGGGGAAAGGAAGCTAATATACAACAAAAGCCTTCTGTGCATCAATGAAGAATAAACGTCTCTTCTATGTAATTTACCAACACCACACTTATTTTGACAAGAACCATCAGAAGTTGTTATAATTTAATTCAAAGATTATAGGTAGATGAATGCCCTAAGTTTGACTTGAACGAATTTACAAACTTAATGTGTGTTTTAAAGTAATGTACAATAATTTAGAAACAGTAGTTTATCATTCTTACTAATCAAACCTAAAAACCAAACCCATATCCTTCAAGTTGAGTGTGACTCCCAGGGACCCTAAAAGACAGACTAGACTGTCAATCATTTCAGAAGCAGGTAGCCACATCTTTCTTCCTTGGTGCAGCTGGTAGGTTTCAAATGCCAATCTTTTGGTTAGTAGACAAGTACTTTAACCACTATGCCTCAAGGGCTCCGTCTTCCTAACAGAGAAGATTAACTTTTAAAACCAAAACACATCTCTAAACTGACCCAGCTCAAGAATACCTTCTTTATGTTTTTCCTAACTTGATGTCCTTAAATATTCTGACAACCCCCTCCTGTGTGTGCCACATTCAATGTAAACACAATCCTAAAACAGCACTTTAACAGCTTGCCATGCTCACATGTGATATTCCTATTAGACATATGCCCTCCAAGGGACTGGCAGCCTTGCGTCTGTCTTCCTACCCGTTGCCTAGCTCCATGTCTGGCTCACAGGACAGGTCAGTCAGTGTAAGACTGAAGTTACATTTAAGTCCTGTCCCTCCCTACTGCCAAGGAATAAGGCTGAAGACAAGTACACAAAGAGCAAAAGTAGCCAGTGCAATGTTTTTAAAACTCTGAAAGCTAGTCTATTTTTGCTACTGTCAAGATAATAGGCATGCATGTATAAAGGAAAACAGTCTTTAAGGTATTACACTCAAGTAGCCTTTATCTTTTTAGCAAAATTATTTAATTCTCCCCTAAAATCCACTGGTACTATGGAATACATACTGCTTTTATGCTATCCATTAATAAAATGAATTGTTTATTATATGTACCAGGAATCAATACAATACATTGCAGTTGTAAGAGACCTTAGATATCTATCTACTTCAATCCTTTCACAAACACACATTAGCCCAAATACACATTAGCTCTCACGGAGCTGCAGGATGAGCACTAGATGGCTAACCACAAATTCCATAATTCAAACTCACCAGCTGCTCCATGGGAAAAAGATGAGACTATGTGCTTCCATAAAGATTCATAGTCTCAGAAACCCTAGGAGTCAGAATTGATATGATAGCAGTGGGTCTGATTTTTTGGTATTTTTGGTCAGAGGCAGAATCAAGAATAATCCTGGTCTCAAGTTAGGCTCAACTTTCTGGAGCTGCCTTCAAAACAGAGTTATTTTTAAACGGACACTGTTTACCAGCACTCCCTAGCTATTTCTTAAATGTGGTTTAGTACATTATAAAGTTCATAAGCAATCAATTTTTTCCCAAAAATATAAAGTTTAATCAGATTGCAATCAGATACAGTGTTAAAAGAAACACTGAAGCGTTATACAAAATACTGAACTTAAGTTTTCCATGTGCAGGCTTTGTGTACTATAACCTGGGACATTCTAATATGTGCTGATTAAAAAGACCAAGAACTACTAAATAATATATTAACACCTGAAAGTAAATGTGCATATTTAGTTTTACAATATTCTTAACCATTAATAGATAACTAATTGCTAATGCATCTCTGTTTCCTCCACTACCCTCTGAAGCAAGCAAAAATTTCACTTACCAAAAAGAGAGAACCATATTCAAAGGTTTCATTCAAAACATCCCTCTTCAGCTCCTGTTTTTCCATAGGTGTCCCATTTACTTTTTCACCCTTCTTTTCAGGGCTAATCCGATCAATGTTAGAAACATATGCCATTCCCAAACATGCCGTGCTTTCCATTTTAACAGGCAGCATGCCTTTGATCTTCTGAAAAAACACAGCAACGGACCCAGTCTCACATGCAGAATTAGAAGAACTTGCTTTGTCAACATCATCCTGATTCGATTTCATGGGAGAAGTTGTTCTTGGAACCTTGTGTGAAGCATTTTTAGAATGCGTTGTAACATGCACAGCCTGGTTAGTAATGAGTTTATTAAATTGTTGCTTATGCGTCTTGTTAATTAGGATTTCTGCTTTTGTGCCTGCATTCAAGTCGGATCTTGGTGTTTTGCTCACAGCTGTCAACTGTCTAGAGGAAGACACTGATGAGGGGGATGGGGCACTGGTCAACCGAGATCTGGATGTGACCTTTGATAAAGCAGGATCTTTGGGTGGCAACACTTGTCTAGACATAACTTTTGCTTTCACATTCTTGAAGTTAGGTCTTGGGTAACTTATAATTTCAGTTTTTCTAACTTTGCTACCTATAAGGGTACTAGTTTTGGTTGTTGATTTCCCAAGACTGGCTTTAGATATGCTCAGCGGTGTTTCCTTAAAATTGAGTAAATGTCTAAGCTCTTGATTACTCTTCTCTACTTTACTACAGCTCACTGTTGCTTCAACAGGTGAAATAGGAAAGGTTGCATTTGTGGGTTCTAGGACTGGTGTGGACATGTTATTTACACTAGTGAACATATCATTTGCATTCCAAGACAGTCCAAATGAGGAATCCACTTTTTGTTCCAAAGGAGTACCTGGCATCAATTCTATGGTACCATTTTGGTTTCCCAAATCCTTTTCATTGGAAACAATTTGTGTGTCTTCAGTCACAGTGACTTTATGCTCTGGGTTTAGTACATGGATTTTACTCTTATCAAAAGCTGGCACTAGTAATGGGCATTCATCATCTATAAGACAATTGGACACTGTTTCTCTTAGATTTTGGCCCATTTCCTTTTGCCCATATGAGCTCTGTGAATGTGTCTCACTATTTGGTTCATCTTTGGACAAACAAAAGAAGTCTTGTAATACAGACCCATTGGGAACATCCATGCCATCAGAAACTGGTGTTAGAGCTTGTATCTCTTGTTCTCCAACTAGGCTTTGCTCTGACCCATCTGTGTACTCACTGGTGGCCTTTCTTGAAGAACATGGACATTGATTTTCAATATCTGGAACAGCACCATCAGTTTGCATCACCACATCAGGAAATATTGTATATGTAGTATTCTGGGCCTCTGATGATGTTGCTAGGGAGTTTTGTAAGCTCTCTCCATAATAACTCTTTCCTCTCACATGCATCTCATCAGAATGGAGAGATGACAGAGTGGAGCAGGATAAGAATGTATTTCCATATTTCACACCAGTTGGTTGCAGACTTTCAGGAATATGAAAAGATGGACTCTTATCAATGGCATGATGTGCTATAAAGGTACAGTTAACTTTATCTTCTCTCAAGTCAAATGTTTGGGTTAGCTCCAAGGCAGAAGTGTGGCCTGTACAGTTCAAATCATTATTAGGCTTCCACACAAAAGGCAGCGATGGCTCAACACTCTGGTCCTGAACTTCTAGGGAATGATAATTATTGGGCAGGTACTCGGGTTTCTCTGTATTTAAGACCTGTGCAGGAGTCTGACACATGAAATCTTTGTGCGTCTCTAACATTCCCTTACTAACGAAATCACTTGAGGAGGATTTTTGTTGGTCAAGGGCTTTAACACACTGATGGTTTAAAGAAATATTTTCACCATTGTCTATAGCAGAGGTGTTGTCATAATCAACCACCATGTCATCTGTGTTGGCAGAATTCCAGTTCACAATAGTTGCAGAATTTTGTGTAAGTGGTGATTTTGGGTTGTATGGATATGTATTTCCATTTTTATCGCTGATAAATAAGGGTTGTGATTCATTTTCTGCCTTGTCATCTGAATTGTCATCATTCATCCTGAATATTAACTTTAAACCACTGCCATTTTATTTTTTCTTCAAGTTCTTTCAAATGAGTGGGAAGGAAAAACTGTCTGTCTCCTGAGTGTTTCAGCACAGTTAAATGCTTTTTAGTCCAGTATGTGGATTTTACTTTAAAGTTGAAATGATTTGTTTGTTGTGCCCTGGAAGAAATAAAACATTTTACTCAAGTAGTAAATATTAGAAAAAATAGCAGATCTCCCCTTTATTCATTTCATCCACTTTATTTTCACAGGTATAACTTAAATTATAGGGTAATTAATATATCATTAGCTCCACTAGGTATCATTAGCTCATCATCATCTCCATTCAAAGACATTCTCTCATGGCTGGGGAATAGAGCATAATGGAAGGTAGGGAGACAAACTGCTATAACTGCCCCAAGGCTGACGTCACAACTGCGCTTCCCACTCCCAGGCACTTGACAACAGGTTTTCCTTCTTGTTGGTTGACAGAGTGGCTATTCATCTTAATTTGCCAAGGGCATTCTTCACATATGACTGTTGTTTCAGAATTTCTAACAATGTCCCATTTCACTCAGATGGGTCTCCTATTGTTTCTTTGAAGAATGGTTACCAGACAAAACAAGAAAGCTAAGAATAAGAGCTAAGGATAAAACAACAAAGGCTTAAGGCCCTTCTCTTCCTGTTTTCACCCCTACCTTAAATACATGTCACTCACAAATTGAAAAAAAAAAAGTTTTTATCTCTTATAAGTTAAAATGGTATTTTTTTGGCCACCGTTACAAAAGGTTAAGCAAAATTACCATAGGGCCCAGTAACTTCTCTCCTAAGTATCTACTCAAGAGAAATGAACACATAGCAACATAAACACCTGCACATAAGTGTATGTTATTTTTAATAGCAGCAATATTCATGATAGCTAAAATGTGAAAACAATCCAAAGGTCCATCACCGGATGAGTAGATAAACAAAATGTGTATATATCCATACAGAGGAATATTCTTTAGCAATAGAAAGGAATGAAGTATTGATGTATGCAGTAACACGTATGAACCTATATGAAAATATACTAAGTCAAAAAACCTTGTCACAAAACACTACATATTTTTGGCACCATTTACATGAAACATCCAGGAGACTCGCTGATTATTGGTTACCAAGAGTTATGAACCTTGAGTAGCTCAAACAGTTAAGAGTGTAGTTAATGACCAAGAGAATGGCAGTTCTAGCCCATGCAAGAGGTGGCTAAATTTGCTTCTGAAAGGTCACAGTCACGAACACTCTACTAAGTGCATTCATTTCTACTGTGAATGGGTTTACCATGAGTTACAACTTGACACAATTTAAAATGAAAAGAAGCATCTGAAAGCATCCATTAATAATCAGAACACGGACTGTATGAAGAATGAATCTAGGAAAATTGGAAGCTGTCAACAATAAAATGGAATGTATAAAGATCCATATCCTAGGCATTTAGTGAGCTGAAATGGACTGGTTTACAATGTTGGACTGACAAACTAAAGAGGAATGGTGTTGCATTCATCATCCAAAACAGCATTTCAAGATCTGTTTTGAAGTACAATGCTGTGATAATATGCATATGCCTACAAGAAAGACCAGTTAATACCACTATTATTCAAATTTACGCACCAACCACCAAAGCCAGTGATGGTAAAATTAAAGAATTCTACCAACTTCTTCAGTCTGAAATTGATCAAAGATGCAATAACAGTGCATTGATAACTACTGGTGATTGGAATGCAATGGTTGGAAACAAAGAAGAAGGATCAGTGGTTGGAATATATGGTCTTGGTGACAGAAAAGATGCTTGAGATTGAATGATAGAATTTGTAAGACCAATGACTTCCTCATGGCAAATATTTTTTTCCAACAACATAAAAGGATACTATGGATTTCACCAGATGGGAAACACAGGAATCAAACTGATTACATCTGTGTGTGGGAGGAAATGTAGAGAAGCTCAATAACATAACCAAAACAAGGCCAGGGACTGATTATGAAACAGCCCATCAATTGCTCCTATATACATTCAGGTTGAAACTGAAGAAATTTAAAGCAAGTCCATTAGAACCAAAATATGACCTTTAGTATTTCCCACCTGAATTTAGAGATATTTTCAAGAACAGATTTAATGCATTAGACACTAATGACTGAAGACCAGAGGAGTTGGGGGATAACATCAAGAACATCATCCAGGAAGAAAGCAAATGGTCATAAAAAGGCAGGAAAGAAAAAAAGGATCAAAATGGGTGTCAGAAGAGAAGCTTCTTGAACCTAGAGAAGCTACAGCAACTGGGAGAAATGATGAATAAATGAATGGACAGAAATTTTCGAAGAACAACTTAAAAAGGGAAAGTATAATAATGAACTGTGCAAAGAACTAGAGTTAGAAAAACCAAAAGGGAAGAAGACACTTAGCATTTTTCAAACTCAAAACACTGAAGAAAAATATCCAAGTCACAGGTTGTAATATTGAAGGATTTACAGGCAAGTTTTGAATGACACAAGAAGCATCAAGAGAATATGGAAGGAATATACACAGTCACTGCACCAAAAAGAAGTGATTGATGGTTCAGTCATTTCAAAAGGGACCATATGATTAAGCACTGATGATATTGAAGAAGTCCAAGTTGCACTGAACGCATTAAAGAGAAACAAGGCTTCAGGAATTGACAGAATACAAAGTGAAATCTTTCAATAAATTGATGCAGTACCGGGGGTCCTCACTCATCTATGCCAAGAAATTTAGAAGAGCTACCTGGCTAGATGGCAGATCAGGTAGATGTTCAGTGAGGAGCTCTGTCATCAACAACACAGAATACCAGACGAAGCAGGCTCAGAGGATGGTGCTAGAACTCTGAACCACATATAAAGGAATATTTAGAAGCTTGGAAGGCTTCAGTTAGGGGAATTTGTAGCAGAATCAAGAAATCCATTGCTTTCTA